TTTCTATACACTAACAATGAGGAAACGGAAAAAGAATGTATGAAAACAATTCCATTTACAATAGCCTCAAAAAAAATCAAATACCTAGGTGTAAACCTAACAAAAGATGTGAACGACCCCTACAAGGAAAACTATACACTTCTGAAGAAAGAGATTGAGGAAGACTATAGAAAGTGGAGAGATCTCCCATGTTCATGGATTGGTAGAGTTAACATAGTAAAAATGTCGATACTCCCAAAAGTAATCTACATGTTTAATGCAATTCCCATCAAAATTCCAATGACAGGGGGGAGAAATGACCCAAGCCTTGTATGCACATATGAATAATAAAACAAACAAACAAAAAAAACCAAAGGGTGTGGTTTGTGCGTGTGTTTTTCCTGTGTCGGAAGTGTTGTGTGTGTGTGTGTGTGTGTGGCTTAAACACTGTTCATGGGAATATAAATTAGTCCAGTTGCTATGGAAATCAGTATACAGGTTCCTCAAGAAACTAAAACCAGAACTACCATGTAATTCACCTCTACCACTCATAGGTATATACAGGAAGGAATCAAATTCAGCAATAAAATATACCTATATATCCATGTTTATTGAGGCACTATTCATAAAGAGTGTCTGTGTACCCACAAACTAGATCATGAACTGCTCTTCTTGTCTTTCCATTTACACACAAATAAGTATGACTTTTTAATTTTTACAGATTTGTTAAGTTTTTAAATGAAATTAATAGACCTAAAAATAAGAATACAAAGGTAATTTTCATTTCACAATTATACAGAAATACATATATAAAGAAAATGTGATAAATATATATAAAATGCAGCATTATTTAGCCACACAGAAGAACAAAATTATGTTGTGTGCAGGAAAATGGAACTGGAAATAATGTTAAATGAAATAAGCCAGACTCAGATTTATCACCTATTTTCTCTCACATGTAGAAGTTAGATAAAAAAAAAAAAAGACATGAAAGTAGAAGGGGCACTACTTTGGAAGAGGAAGGAAATGGGGAGGAATGACAAGATAAGGCAATGGTGGCTGAATATGGTCAAAGAACTTGATATGCATGTTTGAAAAGGTCACAATGAAACCCATTGTTTTGTATCATTAATATATGTTAATAAAAATTAATTACAAAAAGGAAAAAGGTGGAGAGTATTTAAGGAAAGGATGATTATACCTACTTTTTATACTTCTCAAAAATAAAAATTTGATTAGTACCTATTTAAGTTCATATGGAAGTCATGAAACTATTTTCTTTTGTTTTCAAAAAGTCTTAATTATATCCTTCAAAGTACCTTTGTTAAAATGGTGGCTTCAAAATATGTTGTCTGTCATTGAATCTTTGAGCTAGAGAAAGTAAGTAGGTTTTCTATTTCCCAATAGTTAATAAGCATGCCTGCTCTCCTACAGGAACCTTAATCTGAGAGAAGATGTGTGAGTTAAAGAAAAAGGGAGCAGCCTCGTTTAACAGTGATGAGACCAGTTGCGCATAGAAATCTGGGACTTGCAGAGCACTTCTTTCTCTTACTGCCCCTACACCAAAATTACACTATCCTAAATAGACTGGGTCTTCTGGTGCACATCATATAAAAGAAATGGACATTATTGCCTTCTAATTTGTCTCCTATACTACCAGAAATTCTACTACTATAAAGTCCTTCAAGGGGGGGGCAAGGACTTCTGGAAGTCACTGTGTAGATGAAAGGCACAAAGGGCAGTCTGAGATGGAATGGCTGGTGTAGTTTGCTCTGTCTTAGAGTAAGTAAAAAGGCTGAAGTTTCAGTAGACCAAAACCATTTAATGGCCAGCTAACTCTGATAGTTGTGGCTAGGAAGCTCTGCATATCATTACAAACGGCATTAGTCAGTCTGATTTAATTCTAAAGTAGAAGTTCCCAATTTATAAAGAAAAGTTCTTTTCCTTATCCAACCTAGTAAATTTACAGTAGGGCAGGGGATTGGTAGTAAAATCCCCAAGTTATAGGGACAAGGGCTATGGTAAAAGTAGCCTATAGCAATGATAGTTACATTTTCTCATGCAGAGGCTTAATATGCTATACATTTTTCAATAAAATACTGTTTATGTTTCAATATAGTATAACAGCATAACAAGAGTTACTCTAAAGTAATATTACATACCAATTTTCAAAATGTTTTGCAGAGTCAAAATTTACCTTGTGTCTTCCTACAAAACTTATTAAGCCTAAGATATAAGTATTGTCCTTTTAGCAATCATAGTTAAAGAAATGAAAACAATCATCTGAAATATAAAATAGGAGAAAGGACTGTGATAGAACATGTGTGGTCTACAAGCTTCTAAATATATCTTTTAGCACATAAGAAGGATAAAGAGGTCTACATATTGAAAGTATATTTGTGTATTTGTGACATCAAAATTACCTTTTTATTCTTATTTTTAGGTCTATTAATTTCATTTAAAATCTTGAACAAACTGTAAAAATTAAAGTCATACTTATTTGTGTGTAAATGGAAAGACAAGAAGAGCAATTCATGAGCTAGTTAAATTCTTTAATAATTAATGAGTAAAACTTTGTTTACAAATAGGTGACAACCACATGAGAGGAGTAAGGTAAAAGGAAACTAAGAAGATGATTTTGGTTGATGTACTCTCTATACAAGAATGAATATAGAATTTTTAAATTGGTTGAAACTACTGTAAGAGAGGGACAGAAGGTAGAATGAAGAAAAATAGAGGAGATGAACCAGTTGGGACTGTAATACATATATACATGGAAATATCACAAGGAAACTCCCTGTGTAGCTATCTTTATCTTAAACAAGCAAAAATATCATTTCTTTACTTTTTTTCTTCTACAAAATCAGAGAACAGGAGGGTGGAACAGACAGGTCAAGTGGGGGAAGTGAGGAAAGGGTCAGTACCAGTGGTAGGGGGGAAGGGTGTAGGAGGGTGAATACAGTGCAAATACTGGGTACACATGTATGTAAATGCAAAAATGATACCTATTGAAACTATTCCAGGAATGGGGGGGGGTAAAGGAGAGGGGACGGAGGGAATGAATTCAAGTATGATATTTGATACATTGTAGAACTTTGTAAATGCCACATGTACCCAACTCAGCACAATTAAAAAAAAAAACTCACCTACTTAAAAAATAGCAAGAGAAAATTAAAAATTACTGAAATCATAACTAACAAAAAAAAGGTAACATTAAAGACTTACTTTAAAAAGCATACATCTTTAGAAATATAAAACTATTAGTTTATCAAATAAATCTTTGTAATCAGATAGACATTTTTCCCCTTAAATAATTCCATTTTTAGAATATATCCTACTTGTGTGATTTTTATGAAATGGGAATGAAATTTATATTCCTGTTGGTAAGAAATGATGTAAAAAACTGTATGTTTACTTATTCAATATGGTGTCATGCAATATTTGGAAAGACACCCTACTTTCATAGCAAAAAACCTCAATACAGTAAATAAAGCAAATTTAAATATGTGCTCACTGTTAAGTTTTAGTGTCTAATTACATTAGTAAAATCAACTTAATAACAAATATTTAATTTAATGTAGTACAAGGCTTAATAAGTCCTCATGCAACACAAATTGACATTGGTATACTCAGATGAGCATTAAGCAAAAAAATATATAGGTTTTTTTTTAATGGCAACAGTATTGGACATAATAGAAACAGTCAAAACAAAAGTCTGAATTCAAGATTGTAATGGTATATGGTTAAACATTAAGAAATAACAGTATGTTTTTTGTACATAAAAAATTTAAAGGCAGTTGCCATTAAGCAAATTGCCTGAGAAAGGTTCAGATTACAATACCTTGTTAGAAAAATTATCTGGCTCTCATTTTAGTAAAAAAAGAAAGGAAAAGGTGACATCCCCAGGCACAGTGAGATAACAGGGTTAGGTGAAAACACAGATTTCATCTGTCCGACTGAGTTTCTGGGATAGGATATTAAACCCTGGACACAGATGGAACAGATTCATAGCATGAAGTCTTAAACCTGGAGTCTTAGACGACATATATGCCTCAGGTATGTAATAAATTTTGTGTCCTTTTCCTGTTACATAAAAAAGTCCCAAACCTCAGTCAGTACCATCAGTCATTAGTACTATCTTGCAACTTTTGCATGCCTTGTAGTATTAATCCTTAATTTTTCATTAAGTCTTACTTTTTTCTTCAAAATTTACTTTAACCTTATCCTAGAAGATAAGGATAAGGTTAAAGTACATTCATGTACTAGTTGCATTTTTTCATTCATTCAAGCATTAAAGTAGATACAGGAGTAAAAAACAGAGTTGTCTTGTATAACTCAGTCATCTTGTAGACCACATGTGGACAACTATACTGCAGAACACCCTGTACAGCTACAGCCCCAGCAATACATGGTTTTACAGAGCATAGGAACCAATACAACCAGTAATAAATTCCTGTCCACTGAGTGGCTGATGAATATCACAGTATTGCTAGTGTTACCTTTTACTTCATAACATCTTACCATGCACAATAATATGTTAAGTCTGAAGAAGGGAGAGTCCTCAAATTCCAAGGGTGACCAGATTTAAAAAAAAAAA